AGGTGAGGTCAGAATCTTCTCCCATGATCTAGACTTTCAGGTTCCCCAGTGAGGGTGTATGTTCAGGGGTAGATGATCCCCCTTTCCCACTTCCACAGCTTGGGCACTCACAGTATGTGGAGTGTCTCCTGGGTCCTGCAGGAAAAATCTCCTTCTTTCAGAAGGTCTGTGGGTTCTCTCAGCTTTCCTGGTTTATTTCTGCAGTAGTTCTGGAGCAAAAGTACACGATGCGAGTCTCCATACACTGCTCTGCCTGTCCACGTGGGAGCTGCAATCTAGTCTTGCCTCCCATCCACCATGATCCCTCTGGAATTCTTATTGAGCCCCAAGAAGAAACAGTACAGAAGATCCAGGAATATTAATGGGCCAGCTGGACTGAAGATGAGAATCATTAACCTTGTGCCCTGGCTGCAAAACCCCTCAACTGACCACAGGTCTTTGAGAAAGTCCCTTCCCTTTGTTGGCCTCAGCCCAAACACAGAGGAGCACTCAGTGTAGAAACAGTGATTAGAGGTGTGGGCTTTGGGGTGAGAAGTTTCTGAATTTGACCCTGGGAACCATCACTTTTTGGTTGTATGATCTATAGTAAGCAATTTGTCTATTAATACTATATACCTTATAATTGTTAGCATATTTTATTATTATTATTCATTTCACCTATCAAAAGGGTGAATAATAGGAGTAGGAATACATGGCCAGGTATTACGTTTCATGAACCTATAATGAAATAACTGTTGGACAGAGTGTTTGATATATAGATTAAAGGAACTCTATAGAAAGGAGCAGACCCAAACATATAATATTATTCAATATGTTACATGTATACCATTTCCAATCAGATGTATTGTTCAAGAATTGAGGCTGGATCAACTGGTAAAGGGTTCATTGGGAAGCAAATTTGGGGCAAGGCATGGTGGTCCTGCCTGTGATCACAGAACTTTGGGAGATCAAGGTGGGAAGATTCCTTGAGCCCGGGAGTTCAAGATGAGCCTGAGCAACCTAGTGAGATCCCATCTCTACAAAAAAAATTAAAAATTAGGCAGGAGTGGTGGCACATGGCTGTAGTCCCAGCTACTCAGGATGCTGAGGTGGGAGGACTGCTTGGGCCCAGGAGGTCAAGTCTACAGTGAGCTGTGATCACACCACTGTACTACAGCCTGGGTGACAGAGCAAGAACCTTCAAAAAAAAAGCAAAGTTTTATCATGTCTTTTACCTTGTAATTTAACCAGAATGCCTCGTCCACATGTTAGTACTTAAGGTAAAAGGAAAACTAAAATAACAAAAAAGACAGGGTACTGAACTATATATATGGTATATTAATTATATGAGTTGCATATGTAGTGTATGTACAGTTCATGTGCATACATGTATACACAAAAAAATCCCAAAGAACATAGCCCAATGTTAATTTCAACCATGATGGGATTGATTTTTTTTTTTTTTTTTTTGACACAGAGTCTTGCCGTGTTACGCAGGCTAGAGTGCAGTGGCGTGATCTTGGATCACAGCAGCTTCTGCCTCCCGGGTTCAGTCGATTCTCCTGCCTTAGCCTCCCAAGTAGCTGGGATTACAGGTGTGAGACACCTGACATCCTGAGTAGCTGGGACTACAGCCATGTGCCACGACTCCTGCCTAATTTAAAAAAATTTTTTTGTAGAGATGGGATCTCACTATGTTGTTCAGGCTCATCAACGTCTAGGAATCCTCCCACCTCGGCCTCCTAGAGTTCTGTGATCACAGGCAGGAGCCACCATGCCTTGCCCCAAATTTGCTTCCCAATGAACCCTTTACCAGTTGATCCAGCCTCAGTTCTTAAACAATGCATCTAATTGGAAATGGCATATATGTAACATATTGACCACTCAGCTAATTTTTTTTTTTTTTTGTATTTTTAGTACAGATGGGTATTGCTGTATTGGCCAGGCTGGTGGTCTCGAGCTCCTGGCTTCAAGTGATCCACCTGCCTCGGCCTCCCTAAGTGCTGGAATTACAGGCGTGAGCCACTGCGCCCAGTCTATGATGGGACTGATATTTTTAACTTCTCCACTTGGCTCAATATTAAGCCTTTGCTGAGTATGGATTAGACTTATGAAAAAAAAACACTATATCCCCTAAAACCTCTGCTACTTATGAAATATTTCAGATAAAGTGTATAGATAACTATAAAATTAATCCAGGTTAAGAAAAACTTTACTCCTCCATGGCCCTTTCTTCCCTCCTAGAGATAATCAATATCCAGAATGCGGTATTTATTCCACATATTTTTTATTACTTTACTATATATGAGAACATCCCTAGACAAAATATATATTTTTTTGCATATTTGTCTTCATACAACCACACACACACATTAATACTATAGGTGTTCTTGTCCTCCAACTAGCTAATTTAACGTCGTATGTCTATATGTACACACACACACACAAACTTGATTCTTATACTCAAGAGAGCATTGTGAGGAATTCAAGGGGAAACTCTCCTCCAGATCCCAGCACAGTTTTTGACACATTATTCACAGCACCAATGTTTGCTTCCTTCTCATCCCAACTCTGCTAAGATGTTATTTCTTTACATTCACTTCTAATTTTACCATTAAGTATTCTTTTCATCTGCATTCTTTTAGTTTACATTGTGGTTCTTTATCAGGCTTTCTGAATTGAATGTTTAACTCATTTATTTTCATTTTTATTGATATCGGTATTTAATGCTTTAAAATAGTCTCTGATAGCTACTCTAGCTAAATTCATACATGCTCTGTTTTCATTATGATTATATGCACCAAATTCTGCAATTTTAATCTATTTCCATTTGGGCGCAAGTTTTGTTTAACAGCCTCAGATAGAATCAGTTTTCATGAATGATCCATGTTTATATGAAAAGTAGGTGTGTTACCTAATATTAGGCTTCACAGTTTAGAATAAGTGTATCTGTAAGATCTACCCTTGGAATTATGTTGCTTAAGTCTTCTCTACAATTACTAAATTTTTCTCCACCTGAACGTTTTTGGATAACAGGAAATGTAGAATCATCTATTATTAAATGGTGTGCTGCTTCCTACTTCTCTTGGCACTACTGTAGTTTTTGTTCTATCAATATTTTTACCACATGACTGCATAAGTAAGTATTAATAGCTCCCATCTTCCTTGTGAATTGTAGCCTTTGGCTTTATCAACTGTGATTTTTTGTCTCTTTAAATCCATTTTGGTCTCAGTTTTTTCTCTTAATTATCAAGATTGTAACCCTTATTTTCTTTATATTGTCAACTGCCTAGTGTATATTTATCCTTACATTTTTAACCTATATGAATACATTTGTTTTACGTGTATCACTGGGAAAAGCATAGCTTTGGATTTTGCTTCAATAGGCAATCTGAAATACTTTTATTTTAATAGATGAGTTAAGCCAATTTACTATTATTGATATGATTGCTCATTTGTGTTCAATTCTGTTGTATTGCTTTTAAACACAAATTGTATAGTCTTTCACTAGTTCATATGTTTATTTGCTATCTATATTTATTTAGGATTTAGAATGGTTAATACATAATATCCTTGATATGGAAGAAGTCTTAATAATGAGGAGAGAAATCATCGAAAGATATGAACAGATAATTCGCATAAAATGCAATATACATAGTCACTAAACTTTCAAAAATATACCAAATTACAATAATTCTGCCTGCCATGGGCTGCCAGTGTGCACTAGAGGTATCTCATGTTTCATCTTATGGATGCCGCAGAGTAGAGGATTTTACTGTCATCTTTTACACTTATCAATTTTATTCTGACAGAATTAGAGCCATTCTGTATGTAAATTCATATGCTAGGTTTTAAGTGAGGAATTTTTTTTGCTCCATGCAAACATGGCTGTGGAGAAGTTTGACAATGGTGGTATGATAGTGCCCCCTCGTGACTGAAGCCTGAACTGCAGCTTGAACATCACAGTAGGAAAGTGGGAGGGAGGAGTTGTGGCCCAAGCCCGCCCTACAGAGTTTTCTAGAAGTCTGAGTGGAAAATTGGGTATTCCCAGTGTGTAGGAATACCGACAGCCTCCATTTAAAAAATGAAGCCCTTTACTATGTGGAAGAGAAAACTATGTCAGAATAATAAATATATGTTTTCAATGCTTTGAGACGTATGGATAAATAGCTGGAGAACTGGGTAAGCTAAAATGGATGCCGATCTTTTATCATCTTCGTAACCCAAGTTTGCCTATAACCATTTTTTCATGGAAGTATACTTTAAAATACTTAAACACAAAATCTCACTTTTTTTTTTTTTTTGGACTGTGTATTTCATTGTGTGGATGCCCTCAAATTTATTTCACTAGTATTACAGCAATGAAAATTTAGTTCCCTTACCATTTCTGTGACCAAAAATAATGTACTTAACGCCATGTTCACGTATATGCAAATACGTTTGTAAGCATTTATTTATAATAAGTTCCTGAGTCATTTTAAAGCCCTTTGAACTATAACATTTTATATTAATAATGAATTCAAAATACTATTACTAATTTATATGACCTGTATCACAGTGTGAAAGTACCTGTTTCTGCACACATTAGAAATAATGAGAATGATTAATTTGGTGCACAAGAAGTCATGTCTCATCATTACTTTCATTATAACTCGTTTTCGTTGCCTTCTGGAATTCCATCCTATGGATGTGACATAATCAATTTTCACAACCTCATGTTATTCAGACTGTCCTGATATTTCCTATTATCTACACTGTGTGGATGGCATCTTTTCAGACTCTGTGCACTGCTGAAGGGCACAGTTACGGGCACAGTTCCTGTGGCTATTTGCACTAGTGAGTTGAATGTGTCTTCCTTGAGTCCGGCAAGCTGTCTTAGGAGAAATACAACATAACATGATAAATGTCTCAGTTTGTGTGAGAGAGTGTGTGTGTGTGTATGTGTGTGTGTGCTGACAACCACATTTCCCTCTGCCCCTTCATGGGTTTGTGTCTCATTTGGTTTCTCTTCCCAAATTCAGGCCCAGAAGTGACAAAAGAGAATTATCAGGATGGCAGTCCTTATAACCAGATGCTTATGAACATTCTTCACTACATTCTGAAGATGAATTTCTACAAGGGAAATTGTTTATGTAAGTGGTGTGTACCCTTTGATATGTATTGACATAGTGGCACACATAGAGTTGTGCCATTTAGACTCCCCAAGGGGAGGCATGTGAGGTCAGCCACAGAGGAGTGAAGAAATTAGTTAATGCTGACATCCTATCACATAGGATGGGTTCTGGACTCTGTCATGGACCCGCTCTCAAGCCATTGCCATAATTGGAAGACGTGGAAGTGATCAGATGCAATCAAATTTTGCACACAAGCACAACCTGATGTAGCAATGAGGGGAAGGGGGAAGAGGAATGATCATTGCTTGGAGTTACACAGGACAGAGGCAGCAGGGGTAGGACACAGGCACTCTTTTATATGCATTCTTTTTTTTTTTTTTTTTTTTTTTTTTGCGACAGAGTCTTGCTCTGTTGCCAGGCTGGAGTGCAGTGGTGTGATCCCGGCTCACTGCAACCTCCACCTCCTGGTTCAAGCGATTCTCCTGCCTCAGCCTCCCGAGTAGCTGGGACTGCAGGCATGCACCACCACGCCCAGCTAATTTTTTGTATTTTTAGTAGAGACGAGGTTTTACCATGTTGACCAGGATGGTCTCGATCTCTTCAGCTCGTAATCCGCCTGCCTTGGCCTCCCAAAATGCTGGGATTACAGGCGTGGACCATCCTGCCCGGCCCTATATGCATTCATTTTTATATGAAACATATGCATCAATTCTTTTGTATGAAAACGTTTGGTCATTACTGTGGTACAACAGAAGACCAGGTCAGTATCATGTTTTTTTTCACATTTACACAGATTTTTATTTTGTTTTAGACATTGTCTTACACACAATAGACATTCAATATTTGTTGAAATTAATGAAAGAAAAGAGAACATGAAAAGGGGCTAAGAAGACAATAATCTGCTTTTTAATTTATAGACAGCAATTAGGTCAAACAGTTATAATAATGATGACAAAGAACAATATCTGAGGTACACTCAAAATCTTTTGAGGGTTATTTGCCACTTTTCCTGGCTATTTCTCCTTTACTATGTGGAAGAGAAAACTATGTCAGAATAATAAATATATGTTTTCAATGCTTTGAGACATATGGATAAATAGCTGGAGAACTGGGTAAGCTAAAATGGATGCCGATCTTTTATCATCTTCGTAACCCAAGTTTGCCCTTATTATAACCATTTTTTCTTGGAAGTATACTTTAAAATACTTAAACACAAAATCTCACTTTTTTTTTTTTTTTGGACTGTGTATTTCATTGTGTGGATGCCCTCAAATTTATTTCACTAGTATTACAGCAATGAAAATTTAGTTCCCTTACCATATGCAGCTGGAAACCATGCATTCTCAGCAAACTATTGCAAGAGAACAGAAAACAAACACCACATCTTTCACTCATAGGTGC